GCTGAGCTGGCCACACACACACACACACACACACACACACACTAAATAAATGTTAAAATAAATAAATAATTTTAAAAAATAAATAAATGAAAAGATAAAGTAGGCATATGCTGAAGAAAGATTCTAGTGGGAAACTATAGGATCTAGTAAAAGTGATAGTAGAACATGCAAAAAGGAGAGAGAGAACATGGAAAAAGGATACCCTTACTAGATAGCAGACATGGTTGTAAGCATTTTATATAGCAGGATTTCTTAGAGGTAGATAGTGTTATTTTTACCATTTTACTAATGATGATGCTGAAGCATGAGGTCAGATAAGTTGTCAGGTTCTCACACACAAACCCCACACCTATGCTAGCCAGTTTCCAAGCCTGTTCTCTTATCCACTGTGTTGGGGTGCCTCTTGAGAAGAGGTCGGTAATCTGAGCTGCAGCCTGTGATTGAAGGCTGGGCGAGGTGTGAAAGTGGTTGACATGATTGGTACAGAGAAGGTAGATGTGGATGCCCTTCTCCCACCTCGCTCTTCTGGCGGCCACATTTCTCCAGCCTGAAAGGAGAGCAGAGATTGCTGTAGCAGGACACTGTACCTGAGAGGCCAAAGCCCAGAGCAATTGGACATTGGAGGAAGGGAAAAAGCCCCAACTCTAAACGGGAACAGAATGAAAGTCTTCACTGCTTGTTCAGGCACCTGGTGCCCTTGTCCTGCTTGCCTGGAGTGGCTGGGCAGCCAGACAGCTCTGCCTGCTCTGCTACCCATGGAACCTCGTGGGAGAAGCTGATAGCCACAGGAAGCAGGCCTGCAGATGCTGTGACGGGGCTTCTTAGCAGACTGGTCAGGAAGCGTCCCTCTTACCCTGCTGTGAGCTGCCACTAACGAATCCCACCTACTCAGACAGAGCTTGCAGTCGGCATTGAGAGGCTGTAAAACTTCGTGCAATACTTAAAGGAAAAAGACTTCAGAATGAGAGTAACTTAAAACAGAAAAATGAGGGGCTGGGGAGATGGTTCAGTGGAATAAGTGCTTCCCTGGCAAGCGCTAAGGGCCTGAGTTCAAAAGAAAAATGGGACTCAAGGGAAATAGATGAAATAGAGACCAGAAGAAATTTTATTTTTTATTTATTTATTTATTTTTTTTATTTATTACATTTATTTATTGTGTGTGTGTGTGTGTGGCCAGCTCAGCC